TTCTGTGTAAGCTAACAGGTCAGTGAGAATAGTATGAGCAAGTTTCAGTTAATGGTGACTTTCCCAACTTAGGTAACTCAGGTAGCCTGTGTTATCACAGTAATTATGGACACAACAATTCTGGCCACTGCTAAAAAAGATCATGGAGTGAAAAGGACAGTGGGAATTCACCTAAACGTGTGTTTACATGTTGTCACTAAAATGTGTGCACATGTTTATATTTATGGTCCTCCTTTTCGTCCTTTCCTCTACAAATGAACCATTCATTTCCCCCTCAAATGGTCCACACAGAACGGTTTTCTTTCCTTCCTAGTGTGTTAAAGGGGTCATCGGATGCTCATTTTGCACAAGTTTATATGATTCTTTAGGGTCTTAATTAAAAGTCTATAACATACTTTGGTTAAAATTTCTCAATGTTAGTGTAAAAAACACCTTTTTAAACCGGATTTTAAAATAGGGATTTAAAAAAAAAAAAAAACACTGGATTTATAAGTATAGGATGGATGTGTACACACACTTCCAACATACATTTATGTTCAAACAACTTGAAAAGTGAATTTTGCATTTTCACATTCTTGTCTGACTACTTACATTGAGGCCATATCTACACAGGTAATGGCATTAATGACAATTTACTAAAAAATGGAGACAGCCTGTAACTTCAGCGTGTGAGGTGATGAAATGGCAAAAAAATGACTGATGATTAGCATCAATGCCTCAAAGGAAACAATTCAAAGCTTGATCAGATACATTCCAGTTTGGTTACTACAGTGTACGCAGGAGGAAATCTCTTAGCATTGCATAGTACTCTCTTGCTACTCCACATGTAACGGATGTAACGACTGTCCCAAAGATGACCAGTGCACAGTGATTTGCAGGCATGTAGGACAAAATTAACCCTAAAGGTCTTTAGTCAACATTCCTGAACTCTGTCTGAATCCCATTACATCACAATGACATTAAAAATGCTTCCTTTTTACTCAGACATCTGTTATCTGTTCAAACTAAAAACGATTCAAAATCAAGCCGACTATCCTAAACATGCTGGATGATCTATCTTTAAATATCACTACATCAGAGCACTCTTGCTGCGTAACGAACATGTGGCCTTGCAGGGTCAAATTTTAGAACCTGTAAATCACATATGAAGCTAAATCGGTTAGCCTATCCAGCCAATCTGGGACTATCTATCTATCTAGGACTATCCAGCCAAACATTAGCAGGATTTGGTATGGACCTGACTATAACCAAATGTCACAATCTGAGTGCTGAACTAACATGACGTTTTGTTTATTTAGTAGTGAGAATGATGGGAGCAGTGGTTTTCTGTTCATATCTAGCATAACAGACAGAAAGGAACAGAAGGGAGCAAGAGAGAGCGAGAAAGAGAATGCTGTGATCATGTTTTATACTCCGTATTGAACAGGTCTGATCAGGAGAAGCATCGCGAACATTCCTCTACCTCAGCAATATAAAGAGCAGCCATGAGATCTGCCTTACTGTTATCACACAAACACACACATATATATTTTTTTTAATTAGGACAACCATCGACTTCTATTGTGTGTGTGTGTGTGTGTATATACAGTGGGTACGGAAAGTATTCAGACCCCCTTAAATTTTTCACTCTTTGTTATATTGCAGCCATTTGCTAAAATCATTTAAGTTATTTTTTTTCCTCATTAATGTACACACAGCACCCCATATTGACAGAAAAACACAGAATTGTTGACATTTTTGCAGATTTATTAAAAAAGAAAAACTGAAATATCACATGGTCCTAAGTATTCAGACCCTTTGCTCAGTATTTAGTAGAAGCACCCTTTTGATCGAATACAGCCATGAGTCTTTTTGGGAAAGACCCAACAAGTTGCTGAACTAACATGACGTTTTGTTTATTTAGTAGTGAGAATGATGGGAGCAGTGGTTTTCTGTTCATATCTAGCATAACAGACAGAAAGGTTATCACACAAACACACACATATATTTTTTTTTAAATTAGGACAACCATCGACTTCTATTGTGTGTGTATGTGTGTATATACAGTGGGTACGGAAAGTATTCAGACCCCCTTAAAATTTTCACTCTTTGTTATATTGCAGCCATTTGCTAAAATCATTTAAGTTATTTTTTTTCCTCATTAATGTACACACAGCACCCCATATTGACAGAAAAACACAGAATTGTTGACATTTTTGCAGATTTATTAAAAAAGAAAAACTGAAATATCACATGGTCCTAAGTATTCAGACCCTTTGCTGTGACACTCATATATTTAACGCAGGTGCTGTCCATTTCTTCTGATCATCCTGGAGATGGTTCTACACCTTCATTTGAGTCAAGCTGTGTTTGATTATACTGCCACTGTATATATATATATATGAACACACACGCACATACACTAATCTTCAAAGTTTGGAGTTTTAGTAAGATAAGTAGCACAACTGTTTTAAATAGTTGATAATCACAATAAATGTTTCTTGAGCACCAAATCAGCATATTAGAATGATTTGATGATCTTCACACACACACACACACACACACACACACACACACACATCAGACAAATCTGCCCACTAGCAAAATACAGCCTCACATTTACAAAGAGACGCCTACACATTAAATATCATAGACAAGGTGTTTGTTATTACTGTTGAGACCCCCTAGTCATAAAGAGCCCTGCAGCTGCCTTTCTCATGAAACCCCTGAAGAACAGTGATGAAATTCTTCAGTTAAGAGTCTTAGAAGCATGCGGCGTTACTCGAAAGGGTTAAAGTTTAACACATCAGAGCAGGCCTCTACCTGACAACAGATCCGGACAAACCTCAGACCTCTCTGAAACATCGGAGTAAACCTGCTCTTCAAACACGACTTCTAGATAACCCAGTGACCCTTGGACAAATGTCTCCACAGCAAGGTGGGTCAAATTAAAGATTGCCTCACTGCCAAGTTGTCTTGAGACAAAAAAGGACACAATAAATGGGCCTAATTTAAGCCTCCAACATCTTGACAAGCAGTGGTGGGTTTAAATGAATGAGCGGGAGGCTCTTTTACTTTTAAACGCATTTGTTTCCAGTTACCTCTACAGCTATTGTAAGCTACAGATGACTGAGCCAGAGCTGCAGTGTTTCCTGAAAAACTGAACCATATGCAGCTTGGCCGGTTTGAGGGATTGGATGTTTAGATTGACTTTGTAAATTGTACCCAGCTCACTCAATTACAAGGACAAAGCGATTGCTCACAGGACAAGCCCATCAGTGCTCTTGGAGACGATACACTCCAGGTCAGAGGAAGTTCCTAGTAAAGGGTAAGAACTAGGGCTTAACGATTTTGGAAAATAATCTAATTGCGATTTTTTTACCAATATTGCGATTGCGATTTAATATGCAATTATTTTTTTAAAGCTCTTTATGTTCTGTATTATTCAACAAAGACAAGCTATAAATCATTGTGAAAAAAACACCTGCATCACTTGAAACACTGAAAAATATCATAGAGAGAATAACTTATTATTATTATTATTCTCTCGCTGTTATTTATTTATTTTTTGTGGGTTTCATGCTGTCCGCTAAGGCATAGGACACACACGGGCTTTCCTCCTTACCAACGACATTAAACACCGTGTTTACACCGGATGCGAGCGGCAAAATACAGTAGAACCCATTATAATCAGTGACACTGTCTACACGCAACACGACAAAACCCGACATTAAACTGATGCCTTGTTCTATTTATGACGTACTGACACAAAGTTAAAATGATTTGCAACGGTCACTTTGTCGCATCCAGTGTAGAGCTGTTGCGGCGCGACGCAACAACTGTAGCGTAGTGAAGCCGAGAGCAAGATATGCCTCGTCATATTTTCTGCATTTAGCTTTTGAATGACGGACGTCTCCTTATGCTTTCTCTCGCCGTACTCTGATGTCATACACTGATCGATCTTCAAGTCGAACACACCTCTTTACTCTTGCATGTCACGTGACTGTGTAATCGCAGCCTCTGCGATTGAAAAATCGCATTATTTCATATCGTGATATTATCGCAAATGCAATTAATCGTTCAGCCCTAGTAAGAACTACGAATGTTTGTGGTTCAATGAGCAGATGTAGCACAGCGCAACCTGCTCGGAGCGTAATTGTGGTTTGGACTGATGAATGAGCATATGAGTATACTAATAACAATGTACTTCTACTCCAAACACTTCATTTTGCCCCTCTTTCGCCTCTCATTCTTTCCTTCTGGGCTCACTTTCAATATCAACCCGGCAAATCCAAACACAAAAGATGAAGCTAAATTGAATCCACACATGTCCGTGTTTTCAAACCCGATGAAGAGGAAGAAAATATGGTTTCAGATGAAACAAATCGCCTTCATTCTTCACCTTCAAGGCAGCAGTCACCATTAAGAGAACGAAAGGCCAAGAGTGTTGTACACACATACACACTTTCCTTCCTCTTTGCATGGTTGACCTCTTTATAGGCTCACTGAGATGTAAAGGAGACGAGTGTAATGGAGAGAACAGCTGGCGTGACAGGCCTGAGCACACACACATTTGGAAGACCCCAATAGTCATGAAGAGAGGTCACACACAGACACAGTCAAACCGGCTGTATGAACCCTACAGAAAAACAGCAGCACGCAGTCAGCTCTCAGCAGAGCGTATTCATGCTGAATCCACAGTTTCACTCTCCTTGGCTGCTTTACCTGCGTCAAGGTCAGTACAGACCACCAACACACACTCTAACCATTTATTCATTAAAAACACACAGTGACTAAAGGTCCTGTTCACGTATAACATGGATAACAAGCACACTACATCACCACAGATATGTTCCCCCATAGCTAAAGTGTATTCTCACACTTTTGTTTAAGTCAATCAGCAGCACAGTAAAACTCAGTAAAAACAGTAACAGTACCCCCCTGTCTCTCACCCCTCCCTCATCTCAACCTCTAAGGTAAAGACATTAGCACCTCAGAACTCCAGAGTTGTCTGTACTCACCATGCTGTAGGCTGATTGTTCTTCCTTTCATTAGATTCATTTTCCAGTGAGTCCGGCGGCCTCCCGTGCCGTGGTTGAGTGTGGGTGTGCGTGCATGTGTGCTGCTGAGTGGGCAAGTTTGTGTGTGTGTTGTGCACTAACCCTTCCAAACTGCAGGTCTCCGACACACTGACACACTCTCCAACACACTGCAGCAGCTCACGAGTTAGAGACCGCCCACTCACCCTCTGTCCCCTCCCCTCTCACACTGCCTTGCCTGTCTGTCACTCAGAAAAAATCTGTCCACACCTACAACTCAAAGACCCTCCCAATCACACTCTACATAAGCTGCTGGAGCAAAACAGACACAAGGGAAAAATAGTGTCAATACAATATGCAAAACTGTTTGCTTACCAACTTTCTTCAAAATATCTTCTTTAATGTTTCACAGATGAAACAAAAGCCCTATTCGGACGGGACTAGTTTTCCAGGAGGACATTAGAGAAATTTGTATACTTTTGCAACCAGAGCAAATTACCTACCATTATTCAGCAAACACTGTGGTCCTGTCTGTGATTGCAGATACTGTATTATCCCAACGCTTCTCCTCTTGTGTTTTTTGGCCTACCTGATCTACCATTTGCTGCATCTTTCACTATGGATTGTATCCGACGAAAATATAAAATAGTAAAATGAATAAGGAGAGCCAAATCGCAGAAATGATTTGGCCATTTCAATATCAGCGTCAGGTAAGATACTTGTCTAGATTTCTCTACTCACTTACATTGGTTTATTATAAGCAGCCACTTCTATAAACTCATCTGAAGTTTATTTAAATATTGTTTTTATAATAAATTACAATTATATTAATACATATTTCATTAGACATATGCACCGTGTGTGATGCACGCAACTACATCATGTCTACAAACCCCCCCTAAAAAAAAAACTTAATAAAAAAATGAATGATGCCTTGGCAACTAATGGAAATAAGTTCAAGTACTAAAATGACTAAAACTGAAATGAAAATAAATTAAAGCTGAATAGACATAAAAATTACATCTAATAAAGCTCATTCAAAATGTTAAAATATTAAAATAATGCATCCAACTGAACTCACTGACTCACTTTAAGTAACCTTAACTGACTTTATGTGATTAATGTTATTAATGGGAACAGCACTTTTAAATTAAATGTTTACCAAAATACATCATTCAGTCAAATGTAATTTTTTGCATAGGACTCTTGAGGAGACACAGTTGTAAACACTGTAATCTGGCTTTTCAGCGAGAAAGCTATCCCAGAGACTGGCTCCCTGCTGACAGAGTGAATGGACACAGAGCTCTAGTGGGAGGAGAAATGCTGTCCAAGATGAGTGATTGACACTTGATCTGCTCACCACTGTCTAAATGCTGAGAAGGGATCAACAAGGAGAAAGACAGACCGCAAGGGGTAAAATGAACATGGGGTACAAGGTTTCAGTGCCTCAGTCAAATGCACAGCTGGTCTAAGGGGAATTAAGGCACCTCTAACTTCATTTAAATCTTAATACACAGTTTTAATTGAATAATTAATTAATTATTTGTACCTCCGAATGTTTTCTTCTTTCTTTAAAAGTCTGGATGCCTCTTTCTTGCCCATCTGGAGTTGTTTTTTTCTTCCACCATTATATTTTTATATGAAATAAAGATCCAACATTGATGACAGAATTGTCATTTTTGAGTGAACTTCAGCTAAAGCTTCTAAACAACAAACATATCTATAATAACACTGCATCCATGTATATGCTACTGTTTAAAAGTTTAGGGTCTGTAAGATTTTTTCATGTTTTTGAAATAAGTCTCTTATGCTCACTAAGGCTGCATTTATATAAAAACAATAATAAAGAGAAAATGGTAACATTGTAAAATATTATTACCATTTAAATAACTGATTTCTATTTTAGTGTATTTTAAAATGTAATTTATTCCTGTGATGGCAAAGCTGAATTTACAGGCTCCATTACTCCAGTCTTCAGTGTCACATGATCCTTCAGAAATCATTCTGATATGCTGGTTTGGTGCTCAAGGAGCTGTCATACTGGGCAAATGTAAAATGTAACTCAGAGTTGATAAATTGCCAAATACATATGGTTAAATGAAAACAAGGTTTAAGCAATTTTTCAACCAATGCCTTTGAATGTCATCCTGGATATTGATTTTCTTAAGTAACATTGACAGGGCCCTTAAATCAATAATTTAACCACATTCAAGTAGATAAAGCATTTAGGCAAGTCAACAAATACAATACTGTACATTAATTCAGATTCATTCAGCAGAATGAATTGATATTGCTCAAATTAATTTGGTATTTAGATCTCCCTGGCTGGAAACAGTATGCCCTCATACTCAAACATTTAGCTTTAATTTGAGGCTGATCTGAAAGAGCACAAAGGAGATTTCTCAACTTGGTACCAAGCTGCTTTTAAACCTGAACAATGAATTAAGGTCATTTTGAATATACATATGTGGGTCAGTGTGTTTAAGTTTTTCATCACTGTATTTTTATTGGGGTCCAGTATAAATATTTATATACATTTATGTGCATTGTATGACCCTTCCTCACTAAAACCCTATATGTCAAGCATGTGACAAATCCACAATTAAAATGCATTTACTTTTAACCATGCATGTAAAAAACACATGTTCCTTTGGCTCTAGACCAGGGGTCTCCAACCTTTTACAGGCCAAGGAGAGATGGATAGAGAGATGGACCAGGGACCCCTGTAGTGTATAAATAAGTGCAGCATTTTAAGCCTGGCCTATAGTGACATTGGTACAATACCATATTAATATATTTATATCCTTTGTTATGATGCCTACATTGCAAAAAAAAAATTTTTTTTAGACGTTATCGATGTACAGAGTCATACAATTTACACTTCAAAACATTTAGCTGTACTTCAGCTTCTTTAAATTTTGGTTGAACTTTATTTAACATTGTATTTTTATTTAACAATACAATATAAAGCTATAATCGGCAGACCCTCTACAGCACTGCCATGGATATCCTATTGACAACTGAGGACACATTACACTAGAACACATAAATAAAGTGAATGAATGAATTCCCAAAAGTTGCTTATAATTTTTTCTACCTAGAGTGTTCATTATTTTTGCAATTCCTATTGGTGCCACTAAGGGCACTACATTTACTTCACTTGAAGATTATTTGAGAAGCTGAGGTGCAATAATAACCCCCTTACAGGTATCTGATGGTGAAAATCCATAATGCTGCTGTCTGCTTCTCCAGTAGCCCCTCACTGCAGAACAAAGATCCAGGCAGTGGGGTTGGATCCACATCTAGGGAGTGGAGATGGGTAGGTTTAGGGGTGAAGATGGGTGGGTTTAGGGATCAGGGGGTGGAGATGGGTAGGTTTAGGTATATGTAAGGTGGGAGGAGTTGGATCTGGATCCAACCTCGCCCCCTGGATCTTGTGTTCTGCAGTGAGGACTATCTCTGCTTCTCTCTCACTAAAAGTTGGTAGAGAGCTTAGCATGAGGGAGCGAGTTAAATACAGTAACTGGGGGAGCCAAAGCACTCTGCAGTGGCTGTGGCTGGAACATGCCCACTCACACTCCAGCTGCACACGGTAACAGCAGGAAGCCATGTAGGAAAGATTCCTTAAACAACAAGATTTTCAATTCACTGCCATGCCAAAAAACAATCCCAATTAAAAATTTAATAAAAATATAAATTTTCCCCCTGTTCCAAATAGTTTCATGAGCTTTATTGGCATGACAAATATTTGTACAATATATATTGTATCTTTATTTATTTATATATTCATATTTCCAATAGCATTTGCAGCTTAGCTGCATACAAATAAATTAGTCCAAGGGGGAAAAAAGCCACCAATGACAGCCACTGTGTTTCCCTATTAAGAAAGGGAGTATTTCATTGTACATGAAGGTTTAAAATGTGCTATATATGTCTAACCTAATATCATAATACATTACAATTCCCGGATGTCTGTGTATTTTGTGCATTCTGTCTCCCCCTGTAAGACTTTAACCAGATTGACACTAATATGTTACCTTGCAAACAGACACAAAATGATCTCATAAAGTCCACACAGTCGCTGTATGGCAGGAAGTGGAAAAGGAGGGAGAGTGTATTTTTAGCCACGGGGCAAAAAGTAGCTCTTGTATTGCACCCTTTGTTAATGGCTTGTTATATGACATGGTCCTTCACCCAAAGTTGTCATCAGGAGTAATGCTCAGTTCCTGTGCGTGTGTGTGCAGCACACTTAATCACAGGGCTACACAAACAGAGTAGACTTTGAGGTAAAGGAACAGCTGAGCTGCTCTATAGAAATTTTGCTTTGGCTTCAAATCCAAAAATCAGTCCGTAAAGTGAGAAGGATTGAAGTTACTAATTAGAGCAGTTATACCGGATGTAATTGGGTAGCCATTATTTCCAATTGAATTAAACTGAGATCAACGGGAATATTGATATTGATTCCAAAGCAATTGTATCAGTCTGAGGTGTGATGATTTACATTCAAAGGAAATCTCAGAAGCTGATACCTCTTTAAAGCAGGTTTCTCACACACACACATACATACACGTCTGGTTTACTATCTTTGTGGGGACTCTCCATAGGCGTAATGGTTTTTATACTGTACAAACCGTATATTCTATCGGCCTACACCAAGCCTATACCTAAACCTACCCCTGACACGGTGACACAAGTCGGTGTGTATTCAGGTTTAAGTCCCCACCGGGATAGAAAAACATGTACACACACACACACACACACACACAACAACAACCAGAATCTGGCAAGGGAAAGGACTACATCTACAGGCCAGATTGAGCTTGTCCTTGATGGCTGTCCTTTGATAGAGAGGTCAGATAACGTAATGACTGATCACCATAATAGCTCTCAAACAACAATAAAAAAGGAAGAAACAGTAAAAGAAGGAAGGAGAAAATGGGGACAAATGATCACTCCAGCTGTTTTCTTACCTTTAATGGTAAAGAAGGCCATAAATGAGGAAGACTACAAGCATCTCCAGACATACCGGAGATAGGAATCAGTTGTGTGTGTGTTGGAAATAACAGCACAACATGCCCAGGCCTCAGGCAGCCAGCAAATGAGGAATAAATTGTGCAGCTGGAGGCTAATGGTGCAACAC